GGGAGAAGGGGAGGGGCAGAAATCAAAGCATTATTCTCACAGCTTTATGCAAAATCTTACTGGGGAAAAAAAGCGCATGCCATGCTTACCGTGACTTAACAATTACTCACAGAGAACTATATCCAGGTTAAAACATCTGTATTTTGCCCTTACTGGTATTTCACATTCAACTAAAATGGATCCAAACTGAGCTGCATGAAGGGTCAAGTTTTCTCTAACTACATAATGACTCTGTGAAGGGGAGGGCTGAGAGCGCTGGGACTGTTCAGCCTGGAGAAGAGGAGGCTCAGGGGAATCTCATCGATGTGTGCAAATACCTGGAAGGAGGGTGCAGAGGCGACAGACCCAGGCTCCTCTCAGAGGGGCCCAGTGACAGGACCAGAGGCAATGGCACAAACTGAAACCCAGGAGGTTCCTCTGAGCACCAGGCAACACTTTGTCACCACAGTGGTGACTGAGCACTGACACAGGTGGCCCAGGGAGGTGATGGGGTCTCCCACAGAGATTTTCAACGGCTGTCTGGACATGGTCCTGGGTAACTGGCTCTAGGTGACCCTTTTTGAGCAGGGGGGCTTCGACAAGGTGATCTCCAGAGGTCCCTTCCGACCTCAGCCATTCTGTGATCCTGCAATGGATGCTCCTGCTGTTATATATTAATCAAAGCCAGCATGATGCAATCTTAAGGCGCAGCTCAGTATCACTCCACAACTCCCTCTTCCACCTACTACTTGATGTAGTATTCCTATCCATATTACTTGAACTCATAAGGACCCATGCCCTCTCCATCACCTCAAATCACATTCACACTAATCTTTCTAAACCATAGCGGTTTAAAGCCCCTGGGTCTCGCCACTGAATTTCCACATTTGCCAGACTTCAAACATTCCTCTAACCCTACTATTTCATGGCCCACTTCTGCCAGACACACTTCTCTGTTAAAGTAGTTAATCACCACTTTGAATGACCCATAACATTTGGTTGCTTGTGCACCAGAAGAGACAAACACAGGTGCTATCAGAAGCAGGTAATCCATGCATTTTTGGCTTGCTATATGTAATTCTTCAATATAACTGATATAGCCCTTAGATAATTTTCTTCACATCTTGTTCTGTCTTTGAGCTTTCTGAAACTTACCCTATCACTTTGGATGCACGCTGCATGTCTGAAAAGATGACAGAAATATGTAACAAAGAAAAGGAAGAGTAACCATAGGCTGGATAATCAAAAAAATATTAGTAAAAAAAGGTGCAAATTCTCTTCATGAAGTATCAGTATCACACACTGTTTTGCTAAGTGCATATTATCAGCCTGAGTGTAGCTCAACTGTTTATAATCTTCTAATTCAAAATCTCATACGTAAAATGCAAATACATTTTAGCACATCTGAAACAGCTGCCCTCGGTCCTTTTTTTTTTTTTTTTACTTAAAAGAAAACTTTTCCTTTGTCTAACCAAGTCTCAATGGAACCTACCACAAATGATACAAGTAGAAACTACAGTAAGATGTACAGCAACTTACTATTCATATTGCCAACCCTGCCTACAGAAACCTGCCCTCCCCAATGCCTTCATTATGAAGCATTGTAGTATCAAAGGAGGACAAAATCTGTAAATCATCTCAAGAATTAAAGGGAGAAGAAAGAGATAACTAGAAAAGCGGACAAGATTAATGAAATAATATGGGCAACAGACACAAAAGGTAAAAACAGAGCAGATACCTTGACATTGCATTACGTTCACATTATAAGGAATTATTTCCATCAAGCCATTCAGGTATGTAATGAAGTTCACAACTACATGAACTTGTAATTGTTGTTTTATGAAGGCCAAACATGAAGAGGGTTTAGCAATGTTTTACCCTGCAAGCCAGGAACCAGGAAGCACCACTTAGAAGCTGCTGCTCACTATGAACTCAGTCTTTATTGCTTTCAAATTTACACTATGTAAACATGAAGTGTTTCTACAGGGTATCACAAGGACATAAGGCCTAACTAGAACCTGAGTTCAAGACTAAGAGTGTGGTGTCTGTGCACATTCCTGTAGTAACACGTTCAGGATACTTATCTTTTGAAGAAGTAAATATATTCACTGACAAAAGTCAGAAACTTTCACGCACATCCTGAAGAAATGGCAACGTGACCAAAATGCAATAACACAGTATGGCACAAACATAGCATTAATTTCCTTAAAATTCTGATTTTACTTATTCTTGTGCACTTTGTCTACACAAAGTCTAAGAGTTCTACCTGTAAAAATCTCATGCTTCGGGAAGCTCAGACAGCATTCTCGATACAGGAAACACTTGCATTTAAACACGTATTTTATGTAAATTATGCACATGAATAGATGAGAAGAGTGTGATTTAACGCATACACATAAATTACTATCAATATTAAGTTTATAAAGTAAAGGAAGAAATAGGGTTCCAGTCAGAAACATCTGACAAAGATAAAATGCGTAGCTCAGAGTTCTTTCATACTAGGCAAATCCAGGCTCAGAGCTGATCATAAGGCATGCCGAACTCCTGCAACCTCCTAATAAAATTACTAAGAGGAGCAGTTTTCAACACTGCCCAGGATCAAGCTCTCAGCATCTCAATGTAACTACTATTAAGAAACACGCACAATGTTTAGAAAGAATTAGCTAAAAACAGGCAACGCTTCAGATTGTAGTGAAAATTACTTCACCTAAATTTAAGTTAATGTTCCTTGGATCAAAGACTTTACTTTTTAAAAAGCGGATACCTGCGGTCCATCTCTGGCTTCATAGAAGTCACCCACTCCTATTTTTGCACTGAAGCTGAAATTGTCCCTTGAGATATCCATTATTCCATTTCTGCTGAGATACTGAAAAAATCACATATTTTTCCACTTCAGCTTGTAAATAATTACAACCCAGCTTTGATGTACAGCTAACTTTGTGAGTGTAATGTTTTGCATATTCTATTAAAGGGATATGCATTTATAGGAGATCAAATCAGTAACAGACTGAGATACATTACGCCTCATATCACAGGTATTTTGAAATAAGTATCTTTATTGGAGGGAAAAAACCGGCATTTTTAAACTGCAAGCATGCTTAGTAACATTAGAACACAACAGTTAAAAAAAGGGGTGTACCTTTACTACTTCAGGATACTGTCGCAGCTTCTTCCCACAAGGTGCAAAATATGCCACTTCTCCTTGAAGACGACCACCGAAGTTTCTTATGCGGGTTTCTCTCTGCCAGCTAGAGGAATATGAAATAATTGCATACAACAATACACTTTTTAAAAAACAAGTCATTTATGTCAATTTAAGACTTTTATACGAAAGGAAAAAGGCACATATCTAGCTGTGACAAGTGTATCACAAATCAAATAGGCAAAACCAGAAACTGTTATTATGTTGATAGTCCAAACTCTGACTATATACGGATTTATTTATATCAAGCTACATGCATATTACCAGTTTTTAAACAGCTTAGAACTGTTATTTCGAGGAGTTATTTGGCGTCTGAACTGGCTCAGATCTAGCCATTGGGATTAATTTCCAGTGGCAAAACTGCTAAACAAGTCATGTTTGCAAAAGGGCAAATTTGATACACAAAAATTAACATTAAATGTCGACGCTTTTTTTTCCAAGAGATCCAGTCACTGTGAGTTGATAATCTAAATTGTTGAAGCCCCTTCTCTATTATTCAGCCTCAAAAAATTCTAAACTGTCGTTTCTTTATCAAATGACTTCTGAAGGTATTATCTCCTTTTAAGGAATATCAACCTATAACTTACCCGTATTCAAGAGGAACACGCAGCTCCCGTTCATCTGTCACTCTTCGTCTTTTTGAAATACCTAGAACAGAATTTCTGATTAACACCTAAGATAATTTACAAAATGAAAACATGTTCTTAAAATACACTTTTTAGCCTTATATCCCTTAATGAAAAGACAAAGCATTTTGGCATTCTAGCCATGACACACTTCACGTAGCAAGAAAATTAATATAACTATCCTCCTTTTGAAATAAATTTTCCACTAAGTTTACTTTAACCTCTTCTTCTAACACTGTGAACAGAAGAAAACCCAATTATGGTATACTGAACTGCTTGCCTTGTTAGGTTCTCTCAGATACTGCTAAAATAATTCCTTGCACACCTGTTTTTCTATACTAGACCACATTTAAATTTTTTTCAGTACAGAAGATGAAAATGAAAACACTCTGTACTTTAAAAATTCATACACAATAGGCTCAGCCTTCAAGGAGCACTGTGAATTGTGGTCCGCTGCCAAGTGCGGAAAACTTTCAGGATTATTCCAGCTTTTCAAAGTTCAAACAGATGCTGTGTTTGGCACTAGTCAGGAGACTGAATCAATGATATGAGAG